ACAAAGTGTATCATCACTCTGAACTGGTAAGAGCAAACTGTATCATCACTCTGAACTGGTAAGAACAAAGTGTATCATCACTCTGAACTGGTAAGAGCAAACTGTATCATCACTCTGAACTGGTAAGAACAAACTGTATTATCACTAATGTGTGAGGTGTTCGGAGATCTTATCTTCCCAATTAGTGATGAACTGAACCAATATATATATCTGGAATTATCAGAGTTTTGTAAGGTTTTAAATGATAAAAACAACGACTTTTCATATTTCAGGGCAACACTTCATAATTTTGAAATATATGTCAATAACACTCAACAATACTGATTGTTTACATAGATAACTTACTGAGTGTTACGGTTTTGTTAGATATATATGTCAGTCACACGCAACAATACTTCCTGTTTACAGAGATAACTTACTGAGCATTAGGGTTTTGTTAGATATATATGTCAGTCACACACAACAATACTTCTTGTTTACAGAGATAACTTACCGAGTGTTATGGTTTTGTTAGATATATGTGTGTCACTCACATACAACAACACTTCTTGTTTACAGAGATAACTTACCGAGCATTAGGGTTTTGTTAGACATATAGGTCAATCACCGGCAACAATACATATTGTTTACAGAGATAACTTACCGAGCATTAGGGTTTTGTTAGATATATATGTCAGTCACACGCAACAATACTTATTGTTTACAGAGATAACTTACTGAGTGTTACGGTTTGTTAGATGTATATATGTCAGTCACACGCAACAGTACTTATTGTTAACAGAGATAACTTACTGAGTGTTACGATTTGTTAGATGTATATATGTCAATCACATATAACAATAGTTATTGTTTACAGAGATAAACTACCCAGTGTTATGGTTTTGTTAGATATATGTGTGTCAATCACATGTAACAATACTTATTGTTTAGAGAGATAACTTACCGAGTGTTACGGTTTTGTTAGATATATATGTGCCAATCACATATAACAATACTTATTGTTTACAGAGATAAACTACCGAGTGTTACGATTTTGTTAAATATATATATGTGCCAATCACATACAACAATAGTTGTTGTTTACAGAGATAAACTACCGAGTGTTACGGTTTTGTTAGATATATATATGTGCCAATCACATACAACAATAGTTATTGTTTACAGAGATAAACTACCGAGTGTTATGGTTTGTTAGATATATGTGTGTCAGTCACATATAACAATAGTTATTGTTTACAGAGATAAACTACCGAGTGTTACGGTTTTGTTAGATATATATGTGTCAATCACATATAACAATACTTATTGTTTACAGAGATAAACTACCGAGTGTTATGGTTTGTTAGATATATATATGTCAGTCACATATAACAATAGTTATTGTTTACAGAGATAAACTACCGAGTGTTACGGTTTTGTTAGATATATATATATATGTGCCAATCACATACAACAATAGTTATTGTTTACAGAGATAATAAATATCTTGAAACATAATTTCCAGGTCATCAATAGCTGTGGCCTATTTTGGGCTGACCATCAACATATCTAATCTAGGAGGCAATGATTTCCTGAATTACTTCTGTTTGTCTGTCATCGAGCTACCAGCTTTTGTTCTAGGTCTATACCTGATGGATCGATGGGGAAGAAAGTGGACCAACACTCTCTTTGTTACAACTGCTGGCTTGTTTTGTCTCATGCCGGTTTTCATGCCTCCAAGTACGTTTTGGACTTCTTTTGTTTCATCGACTTTCCTGAAATTATTTTCTTTTAAACTTATAGAATTTTAATGTTAACTATAAAATGGTTTGAGAAATACCATCTATCGAACAATTTAGAATTTTCTCTTTTAAATAATTGTTTAAAATTATTTAATTAGTCATTTTAATAACAAGATTCTAAACTACTATAGCATATTTCTGGACTTGGTTTTAATACTGCAAATAGAATTTAAACTGTATTAAAACGTGGAAAATTAAATTTTGTATAAATTATAATTTTACATGTGTTTTTTATAAATGTACTATGCATTTGTAAAACAATTACATAGTGCTTATAGAGCTATTTACGTTATAACAACATAAGAATTAAACAGTTTTTACTTAATGATTAAATTAGGGTAATTGTGAAGTTGTTGGTTGAAACTATCGGCTGTAATTGTTGTCTTTGTCTGAAGATCATTTTAAGTCTGTAACTGTCACTGTACAGCTGTTAGTGTTGTCTTTGTCTGAAGATCATTGTGAGTCTGTAACTGTCACTGTACAGCTGTAAGTGTTGTCTTTGTTTGAAGACCATTGTGAGTCTGTAACTGTCACTGTACAGCTGTAAGTGTTGTCTTTGTTTGAAGACCATTGTGAGTCTGTAACTGTCACTGTACAGCTGTATTTGTTGTCTTTGTCTGAAGATCATTGTGAGTGTGTAACTGTAACTGTACAGCTGTTAGTGTTGTCTTTGTCTGAAGATCACTGTAAGTCTGTAACTGTCACTATACAGCTATAAGTGTTGTCTTTGTTTGAAGACCATTGTGAGTCTGTAACTGTCACTGTACAGCTATAAGTGTTGTCTTTGTTTGAAGACCATCGTGAGTCTGTAACTGTCACTGTACAGCTGTAAGTGTTGTCTTTGTTTGAAGACCATTGTGAGTCTGTAACTGTCACTGTACAGCTGTATATGATGTATTTGTTTGAAGATCATTATGAGGCTGTAACTGTCGCTGTACAGCTGTATGTGTTGTCTTTGGTTGAAGACCATTGTCGGGCTGTAACTGCCACTGTACAGCTGTATGTATTGTATTTGTTTGAAGATCATAGTGAGGCTGTAACTGTCACTGTACATCTATATATGTTGTTTTTGTTTGAAGACCATTGTGAGTCTGTAACTGTCACTGAACAGCTGTATATGTTGTATTTGTTTGAAGACCATTGTCATTAATATCTCCATGGGATCCTGATATTTGTCGTTATCTAGAGAGTCTTCATAGCGAGTAACATCTCGACGGAATCGTGATATTTGTGCCTGCTTATTGCCAAAACTATTAATTTTAGTGTCTGACATCAAGGAAGCTTCGTGTAAAGTTTTAACACGAGACTTCTTAGCAGAGGAACATCTAACACATATTTAAAGACATATTGTCCTCTTTGGAGGTTTATATTTCACCCAAAAGATGGCAGTAAAAGCAAATAATGTGGCAATTTCAATCAGATATTGGTTTGTTTATAGTTAAGCACAAAGCCACATAATGGGCTATCTGTGCTCTGCCCACCACGGGTATCGAAACCTGTTTTCTAGTGCTTTAAGTTTTCAGATATAAAGCTGTGCCACTGGGGGCAATTAAATATTAAATTGATATAATAATTGTTTGTTTGTTTTTTAATTTCGCGCAAAGCTACACGAGGGCTATCTGCGCTAGCCGTCCCTAATTTAGCAGTGTAAGACTAGAGGGAAGGCAGCTAGACATCACCACCCACCGCCAACTCTTGGGCTACTCTTTTACCAACGAATAGTGGGATTGACCGTCACATTATAACGCTCCCACGGCTGAAAGGGCGAGAATGTTTGGTGTGACGGGGATTCGAACCCACGACCCTCAGATTGCGAGTCGAGTGCATAATAATTGTTACAAGGGTTCCGAAATACAGTCCGAATTGAATATGTTAGAAAAACACGTTAATCCTTCGCAGTTGTTACCAGAATTATACAAACAGTTGAAACCAGTCCAGTGGTGACGAAAGCAAAGCGTTACAAAATAAAAAAAAGAAGAAAGAGAAAGAAAAAAAAACGACATCTAAGCCTTGCACTGTCGCTATATCATCAATCTTGGAAAACTACCAGACCATGGTTCGTAAATAACATTCGAACACGGATTTCGTCATTTATATATTGACAGTTTTCTACAAAAACACTTAATTTCCTATGAAATCATTATTGATGGTAAGCCTATTTTTATGTTTGTTTTTGCCTCTTATAGGATTGAAGGTTTTGATCATGGTAGCGTCGGTTATGGGAAAATTTGGTTCAGCAGCAGCCTTCATGGTGATATATCAACAGGCAACAGAACTTTACCCAACTCCAGTCAGATCAATGGGCATGTCTATCGGGTCAATGGTGTCTTCCATTGCTATTATTTGTATGCCTTACGTCGTATATCTGGTAGGGTGGATCTCTTGTGTCAGGATTGATATTGAAGCTAAACAGTTGAATAGTGACACTAAATATAACGTTTTGAACGTTTTAACATATATCTGTATTATTTTATGTAGTCATATTTTTATTATTTTATGTAGTCATATTTTTATTATTTTATGTAGTCATATCTGTATTATTTTATGTAGTCATATCTGTATTATTTTATGTAGTCATATTTTTATTATTTTATGTAGTCATATTTTTGTTATTTTATGTAGTCATATCTGTATTATTTTATGAAGTCATAAATTATTATTTTATATAGTCATATCTGTGTTATTTTATGTAGTCATATATATATTATTTTATGTAGTCATATTTTTATTATTTTATGTAGTCATATTTTTATTATTTTATGTAGTCATATATGTATTATTTTATGTAGTCATATTTTTATTATTTTATGCAGTTTATATAATGTTTTCAACCTGGGAGCTGACATTTGTTTTTTAAAAACATAAATCATATAATACATTTCAAACACTTTATTGTTAACCATAATTTACCACTAAATCAATAAAACGATAACATATAGACATTTTATAAGATAATTAAAGCATATATAAACATTTTACTAACGCTTAGGAACACGTATATTATTTTAGTAGCTGCACCAATATTCCAAATAAATCATCACATAATCTGCCAAGTAACTGTTTTAGTTGTATTCTAATTATACGATGGTTCATTTGAGATCAAAGAGATATGATAATCGATGCCTGCCAAAGAGGAGTTGTTATCTATGTCTGTTTCTTTATTCGACTGTTCTAAAACATTTGTTATCAGTATCTGTCAACAGTAACAGACGATTACACAGCTTCAGTGAACAGAGATTAGCTGGCTCACGTGGTTTACTTTGATAAGTTATGTCTCCGCTGATGTTAAAGAAATCCCATGAGGCGCTTGAATCTTTATACATGCAGCTGGAGGAGATTTAATGGTATGGGGGGGGGGGTTATTATAGAAGTGGTTTGGTCATGTTATTCTTCTAGGATGGCGAATAAGCAATTAGCATAGCGTGTAGTAGCGAGGATGTATCGTAAAACTCAGTGTGTAGTAGCAAGGATGTATCGTAAAACTCAGTGTGTAGTAGCGAGGATGTATCGTAAAACTCAGTGTGTAATAGCAAGGATGTATCGTAAAACTCAGTGTGTAGTAGCGAGGATGTATCGTAAAACTCAGTGTGTAGTAGCGAGGATGTATCGTAAAACTCAGTGTGTAGTAGCGAGGATGTATCGTAACGCTCAGTGTGTAGTAGCGAGGATGTATCATAAACTCAGTGTGTAGTAGCGAGGATGTATCGTAAAACTCAGTGTGTAGTAGCGAGGATGTATCGTAACGCTCAGTGTGTAGTAGCGAGGATGTATCGTAACGCTCAGTGTGTAGTAGCGAGGATGTATTGTAACGCTCAGTGTGTAGTAGCGAGGATGTATCGTAACGCTCAGTGTGTAGTAGCGAGGATGTATCGTAACGCTCAGTGTAGAGCCACGAGGAT